TTACGCCATATCCCTTACAAACCTTAACGATAATTCGCTGAAATACAAGTTAGCCTAATATGTCATTAAGCAAACAAACGCTGGAGTTAATATTTGATATGCCGATTTTCGCTAATTTTAGACACATTCCAAAATATGCTCCCCATTTTTAACATTAATATATCCGTGAATTTTTAAGTTAAATACAACTGTAATATATCAAAATCTAAGTTAGTCCTTCCTCTATTTAATGCAAGTTATTTCTCTTTAAAAACTTTACTTGTTTAGAAGTTACTACGAATCAAACAGGAGTACTTTTTTTTGGGCCACCCGGTATATATATATATATATATATATATATATATATATATATATATATATATATATATATATATATATACTATATATATATATATATATATATATATATATATATATATATATATATATATATATATATATATATATATATATATATATATATATATATATATATATATATATCATTCATCATTTTATGGTCATTATCAGTCATAGAGGACGTTTTGCAAGTGTGTTAGCTGCGTATTTGTCTGTTCTCTCCATTTTGTCCGAATTAAGACTTCAACGGTCCCAGTCTTTATTTTGTATTTGCGCGGTTTAAGATGAAAATGGCGGGAAAATAGAAGAAAAAACCCAATGAAACAATATGGCTGAAAACGCAGCTACAGCAGATCTGCAGCCTCCTTTACCAAGTGTGGAATTATTTCGAGAAAACAGTTTCTGTAAACAGAGCAAAGTGATTGAATTGTTCTTAATCGTATCAGAAGAGTTATGCAATATATAATCGTTTGAGTAATCGATACTTGGTCCGAAAAGTAGTCGTCATCATAATCGAATCGATATTCTTCGTATCACTAATATCAACCTTGTACACAGGGCCTGAGTACGAGGTTGTAATTCCTCTCACTTCACAAACCTCTCTTGCACAATCCCCCCTCGTAGTACGACATCTTACTGGACGGAGCCCAGATTGAGATTTCAACTATACATAACTCCGGAAAAAAGACTGGGGCGAGTAAAAACAGGAAGCACATCAAGAATAGGGAGCTGCCTACAGCAGCAATTATATAAAGTTTATTATATAAAATAAGTATTTATACTATATTGTATAGTATTTGAAGCATATTTTACTTTGGAAATTATGTGTAATAATCCGTTTTTATATGTTCTCTAATTATAATATACTTGGAAGTGATCCTCGGAAGTGATTCAGCCTACAAATACTGGCATAAATGACCAACCCAGTTTTGTTTTCATTTTTTACCACAGACACCTTGTTTGGCAGATGTCGTCAAAAGTCCATATATGTTTGAATTTTCTGGAATTTCTTTTCACAGTCCTGACCACAGAAGAAAAATATTAAAAGTCATAAAAACTGGGGCGAATAGGATCACTCCTTCTGGAATGACCGACAATAAGTTATAGACGTGTGCTCCCGGTACAAATAGGGTTAATAGTCTCCCTCTGCCAGTTCGACAGAAGAACTCATTTTTATCTTTCCGGTTTGCCTTGAGGCAATTTTTGGAACATCCACACCCCCTCCCCCAATAATTGCTCATGAGCAATTTCAGGTAGATTTCCAGTAGATTTTCATGTAAATTCAGGTCATTCTTGGGGTATAAAACTGACATGACCAAAACGGACATGACCAAAACCCACTCTGACGAGATGTAAGGAACAATACTTATCTTCACTTTTAGGCAACACTAAAATATTGAAATATTGGGTAGGCACCGACCATAGTGGCGCCTCACAGGCATCGCAAAATCAGGTAAAACGTTAAGTTGGAAAAATTCAGGTAAATGTAACCTCACACCTCTGTGGTTCCGGTTTCATATCGTGAAAAAATTAGGATAGGTAGGTCGGAAATAATTTTTTAAAATATTTTTTTCATTGTTTTGGCGGTTTTTTGCTGGGCGATTTGCAGTAGAGTCCCGACATCAATATTAACTAGAGATGCGTATTTCCAATGGACGAATTTATGCAAATTGGTTCAATAATTAGTGTGACAACAGACACCATTTTGGCACGCTGTATGAGCAGCCCGCATCCACCTGGAGAAAATAGGGTCGCATAGTCAATTGCGTCGGCAGAAAAAAATAGGGTCGGTCTGGAACCGGAACCACAGGTATTTTTTTACGCCCAATTAAAACAGTACTATAGTATTGTTTATAATTACCATTTACTCGATTTACCTTAATTTCCAGGTGCTGTGGGCAGTAGCAACCTCAGGAGCCCCCTCGTCAATCGCCCACCCCCGAGCTAATATCAAGTAGAAGAATGCCCAGGCTATTCCAAAGTTTGTGCATTGTTATTTCTATATGTATAATCACTTATGGTTACATTGTGAACAAAGAACTTCTCGTTAACTTTGGCTTTGCATTATTGGGCGTTGTGCTGGCATCTATTTTTCGTTGTTTGTGCAACTTTCTTGAAGAGCTCTTTCAGGTAATTAAAAGTCGAAACGACTACAACATATCTGAGTTGTTTACAAATTCGTTTAGTGGAATCCAGTGGAAGCCAGTCATTCCTGTTGTCATCATCGCTGCGATACCATGTGCATTGGCAAAAAATTCTTCATTTAATCTAGAAGACGCAATTTTAATCTTAAGCGGCATCGGTGTGGTCCCACTGATAGCATACTTGCTTAAACTAAACGCACAATCCGATCCGGCTTACACCCTTGCGTTTAACTATAATATAACGTATCTTGAAAAAGCTTTGCCAATATTCAGCACAAGTTTCTGCGATGGTGAAAAATTGATACTACTTTTTTGGATCAATTATAACAAGGGAACACCGTTGAGTGTTGTGGACAGTAATATTACCAAAATAACTGATAATGATGGACACAATGGATACTTTACAGTTTATAAATTAAAGTACCATGGAATTGAATACAGGCGTGTTATACATTTTGCCGAGGAACCCTTGGAAACCTTGAAGAGGATGTGTGGGCACAGTAAAGAACTTCGTGCCGATCAACTCGATCACCAAGTTCAGTCGCTTCACAAACATTTATCTAAAATTCTCACTAAAGATCAGTGCTTTGGAAACAAATGTATTCCCATATTAATAAGTAAATACAAAAGTTTAGAGAATGGTGGACTTGTTGAACAAATAATGTCCGCGTCTCTCCCTCCCCTTGTGTCGCCCTCTCCACATTTATCTCCGAGTCATCGAGAAAACAGTTCAGTACTTCGAATCGATGAAGACGTCTCGAACCCCGTCTCTGTTTCGCCCTCTCCACATTTATCTCCGAGTCATCCAGAAAACAGTCCAGCACTTCGAATCGATGAAGACGTCTCGATCCCCGTCTCTGTTTCGCCCTCTCCACATGTCTCTCCCAGTCATGAAGAAAGCAGTTCACCACCTCGAAATGATGAAGACGCTGAATCGGAAAGGAACGGCAGGTAAGTTCGTATGTGTTTGGCAGGATAAGCGCCCTGTTTCTAATGATCCAGCTGACAGGATTAAGTTTAGAAATTATGTAAAACAAAACATCTTTTTGTTGGCAAACAAACAGGCAAAAAGGAATGGCATAGAAGTTACTTGCCCACCATTGCAGTATGTAATAAATTTATATAAATTTATAAATTGACGTATAATTAAAAACTTAATATTTTTTATTTTTAGCAGAACAGAGCAATCTCACACTATGGAAGTTACAGGGGAGAGCAAAAGTGTCCGTGTTGCAGTACATCTAACTGGAAGTCGCGAAGATGTTAAACCGCAGTTAAGGAAACGCAAGTAAGTTCGTATGTGTTTGGCAAGATAAGCGCCCTGTTTCTAATGATCCAGTTGAGAGGCTTAAGTTTAGAAATTATATAAAACAAAACATCTTTTCGTTGGAAAACAAACAGGCAAAAGGGTATGACAGAAGTTACTTGCCCACCATTGTGTAACATAGGGAGTGAATAGCAACAGCAAATGGTAGTTATAAATTTATACTGATGATAAAATTGTTGGTATAAATTTATATTTATTTATAAATTGACGTAAAATTAAAAACTTAATAATTTTTTTAGTTTTATATTTTGGTTTATGCCAGTGGCGAATAGTTTGCAAAAGATGCAGGGCGGGGGGATTTGGATATCCTACCCACTTGTTGCTCATGGCTCAAACTTAATAACAATTTGGGCCTAGCTATTTTAAAGGATATCAGGCTTTCATGTATCATATTGCAAAAAGACGTTGTTGCGACTTCTAGTTCTTTGTTAGTCACCTGTCTGTCAATGACGTTACAACCGCTATTGGTTTATGCACTTGTTAATAAATAAATATTAAATAAGTTTGTAAAGTTTCGTATGTAATGTTTCTGTTAAATCGTAGTACTTTTCACAGGATGTATACAAAACATGAACCGCGGGTCCATGGACCTGGTTGCTTTACAGAACATACAAATGTATTGCCATATTAATGAGTGCAGCCTAAAGTTTAGGGAATGGTGCACTTGTTAAACTAATAATGTATTACGTCGTGTTTGGCAGGATAAGGGCCTTGTTTTTAATTATCCAGTTGAGAGAATGAAGATAATAAATAAAAAGTTTGTTTAGTTTCACATGTAATGTTTCTGCTAAATCGTAGTACTATATCCACAGGCCTGTGAAGACAGACCGCAACGAAAACTTGAACATTGGATGGGTAAGTTTTTTCACCCAGATGCTTGACTAGAATTCATGCGGTCACTGGAGGGCCGGTAGGTCACTACCGTCGGAAGCAAGTTTGTATTTGGGAGGAGCCTGATTAGTCAGGGGAGATAATTAGGTCATTATTTCCTTCTCAATTTTTACAGATTATCGCTAGTTTACAAATTATTCGGCAAGATAAGCGCCCTGTTTCTAATGATCCAGTTGAGAGGATTAAATTTAGAAGTTATATAAAACAAAACATCTTTTTGTTGGCAATCTGTATCCACCCTCGCCCCCCCCCCCCCCCCC